TTGCACGGGCAAGCCACACTAGCCGTGTAGGGGACCCCTTGTGGCCGTGTGGAAAGTCCAGGCAGCCTGGAAATCCATACGGCCGTGTGGTTTTGGCCGTGTAGCGTACTTGAAGTCACTTAAGTGAAACGCGGCATTTTGCACACTCACACGGGCAGCTGGGAAAGCCACACGACCGTGTGGCCTGGCCGTGTGGTCGGGAAATTCTGGGTTTTAACCCAATTTCGAGCCAAAGGAGAGGGAATCGACTTTTTGGAGCAAAAACAGAGCCCTGGAGAGAGAAAGTGCGAAGAACACATCCTAGAAGTGATTTTGGAGTTGGGTTTCATCAATGGAGCTTGGAGATCATCATAGGAGTGAAGATTGACATCCCAGAGCAGAGTCTTCCCATTGTTATGAGTATGACTGCTTTGTATTCTGTTCCCCTCTCTCTCTATGGAGTAGAACTTTCTCTCACTTGGGTATGAAGAACCCTAGTTCCATGTGTTAGGAATCTTGATTGTAATTACGTTTGGATTGTGATATTGCTTGATTATAATCGATTGAAGTGTTTTGATTGAGTCAATCGAAGTCTGATCATCTTTTATTGATTTATGCTGCAACCTGGGATAGATAGAATCTGATTAGGTTGTTAGAGCTTCTTCAATCGGTAGTAGTGAATCGATTATACGAGAGTTAGTCGATTCACTTCTTTGTACTGGAATCTAATTCTAGTAGTGGAGTTCTATGTTCATTGCCTCAGCGTTCTATCCCAGTGAAGACTAGTCGTCTGCCGGGTAGTTTGACTGAGAAGGCTTGGTCAGCTGAAGAGATTCCAAACTACTGTTGGATCTTCCGCAGTATAATCTGCAGTACAGCAACCAAAAGTAATTACAACTGAGACCTAACTAAGGAGCTAGGGGGACTCATTCCCGGGTGACTCTTCCTTTGCTTTAGAAAACCGAACCATTTCCTGTTTTCTTACTGCTTTTACTTAAATCAACAATCACTCAACTTAGTTTGCTAGATAACAGATATACACGGAGTAGGCAGTAGATCTAGACCCCGGGTTGACAATTAGAGCTTGCCTGTTACTGCATTTCTGGACTGCGAATACACTTGGTCGCAGTTTGGTGTTGTGTTTTAGCGTGTCAAGTTTTTGGCGCCGTTGCCGGGGACCCTCTAGGTTATTGGGGAAACGTGAAAGTTTGTTACTCTAGCTTTTTCTTTACTGCATTTTCTCTCTTCCACCTGTGTGCCTTCACGGGTTGCTTTTGCTGACTGTGTGCAGGTAGTGCATGACCTGTAGCCAGTCGGGGGATTTACTACCGTTAGATCAAGAGGTTGAACATACCTGTAGGAACTTCAAGCGGGCTCTAAAGGCACGATTGGCTGCGGAGGAAGCTGTGGAGCAACTGCACATCACCGAGGAGGAAGAAAAGGGTGAACCACAGAAAAATGATGTGATCACTCGCGAGGAGCAAACCATGGGCTATTATTGGACCGCCTGCGCCGCAGACATGAGGTCTCCCATCCAACACCCTCAAGTTTCTGCCAACAACTTTGAGGTGAGTACCTCTGTCATCACCATATTGCGCGGTTCGGTGGTATTCTATGGCAATGAGGGGGAGTGTCCCCGATCACACCTGAGGCGATTCCACGAGCTCATCTATGGGATCAAGATCAATGGGGTCCCAGCCGATGCAATCCAGCTGAGGTACTTTCCATTTACTCTGGAGGGGCAAGCCAAGGGTGGCTGGACACCAGGCCCCCTGGATCGATCACCACGTTCGCCAACCTAGCGGACAAGTTCCTCACCCGCTATCATCCTCCGTCAAAAACGGCGGACTTGCAGAAACAGATCACCCACTTTGCCCAGGATGAAGATGAGACCATCTGGGATGCATGGGAGAGATACACCAGTCTCTTCCAGAGGTGTCCCAATCATGGTTTCAATGATGCTTTCAAGGAAGGCACCTTCTACCACGCCCTCTTCCCAGAAGACAAGTAGCTGATTGATTCAGTTTGTGGCGGGAACATGCTGACCAAGACGCTGCCGTAGTTGAATCAACTCTTTGAGGAGTGACACACCAAAACACAACACCAATCTGCGACCAAGTGTAATCGCAGACCGGGAATGCAGTAACAGGCAAGTTATATTATCAACCCGGGGTCTAGATCTACTGCTTACTCAGTGATTATCTATTATCTAGCCAACTAAAGTAAGTGATTGTTGTTGAAAAGCAAAAGCAGAAAGAAAGCAGGAATTGATACGGTTTTCTCAAGCAGGTAAGAGTCACTCGGGAATGAGTCCCCCTAGCTCCTTAGTTAAGTTTCAATTGTATTTCCCTGGGTTGATTTACTGTTGATTAGACTGCGGAAGATCCGACAGTAGCTTGGAATCTCTTAAGCTGACCAAGCCCTCTCAGTCTAACTACTCGGCAAACGACTAGTCTTCACCGGAATAGAAAGCTGAAGCAGTAAGAACAGAACTTCACTACTGGAATTGGATTCCAGTACAAAGCAGTAAACTGACTAACTCTCGTATAGCCAATCTCCTACTACCGAATGATGAGACTCTAGCAACCTAATCAGATTCTATCTATCTCAGATTGCAGCAGGAATCAGGAAAAGTTGATCAGACTTCAATTGACTCAATAAACATGCATCATTCGATTAAAATCAAACAGTAATATCATCCCAAGTCATTACAATCAATCCCTAACACATAGAACTAGGGTTCTTCATCCCCAAGTGAGAGAGGGGTTCTACTCCATAGAGAGAGAGAGGGAAACAAGATACAAAGTAGTCATACTCATAAAGATGAGGAAGATCTGCTCTGGATGATGATTTCCACTCCTATGACGATCTCCAAGCTTGATTTGATGAAACCCAGATCCAAGATGGCTTCTAGGATGTGTTCTTCGTCCTTTCTCTCTCTAGGGCTCTGTTTTTGCTCAAAAAGTCTGATTCTCTCTCTTGCAGCCCGAAATTGGGTTAAAACCAGGAATTCCCGACTCACACGAGCAGAGCCACACGGCCGTGTGGCATACCCAGTTGCCCGTGTGAGTCAAAACGCTGCGTTCCAATTAGTTCGATCTTCAGGCTTCCCACACGGCCAGGGTCGCACGGCCGTGTGAGATTTCCATCTGCCCGTGTTTGCTCTCGCATAAATCCACACGGCCAAACCGCTCCTTCACACGGCCGTGTGGATATCAGGGCAAGCCGTGTTTGCTCTCGCACAATCTCACACGGCCACAAATATGAGTTGCACGGCCGTGTGAGTTGTGGGTGTGCCCGTGTGGCCTCCTTTGTGACTTGCCTCGCGCCCGATCTTCGTCCAATCGACCCCAAACTCGCTCCCAAGCCTCCATTCACGTACTAGAACCTGAAATATCACAAACAAGCACAACCTAGTGTGAAATCGGCCTAAAACACGAGAAATCACATCTCAAATGGTGTGAGAACAGGGGTAAAAACATGTGTAAGTAACGGTCTATCAAACTCCCCCACACTTAACCGTTTGCTTGTCCCCAAGCAAACCAAGTCAGACACAAGGTAAGCTTACATATTTCCAATCAACCAACATTGGGGACAAGTCATATAGGCACAGAACACGTGAATCGTACTGGTTTTCGAACATCAATACCTGACCAACTTCAATAGCAACCTGGACAACCACCACAAAGGACATTCGAGTGCAGCAAAATCGAGTAAAGGAAGAGTCTCCCTTCTGTTCACCAACCAACCTAGACTTGACTCAACCACTTACTCAAAACATTCAACTGATGCATCCAACTCAAGACATCAGAATAGAGACCGAGCAATCTAGGTCCTCACCGGGGTACAAGAGTATATAGAATATGAAAAATGAATCACTCACTCTCGACCAGTGGGGTCAGGACAATTTGATGCGAAAAATGAGCATGTTATTTCTCTCAATCCCTAACATCTCTTCACCATGATGGCAGCCTCTAAATGCTAGAGTTCACATATGGGGTGTCACCACTAACTAATCAGGAGGTCTTAGACACAGGTTCAAATAACTGGCTAGGGTCTTGGATATGGGGAAAAGGCCTTTTAGGTGGTGGAAGTATTCATAGCACAAGGTTCCACATTTCCAAACCCAAACAATCACAGTCAAACAAACCGGTATTTCCTTTCTGCTATTCTGCATTACTCAATATCTCAAGAGCACAAGAGCGAAGGAGGTATAAATGTCAGCATTTCCAAGCCAGACCGCTAAGAAACACTACTTACTGGGCATTATTCAGATTTTTTGTAGTGGCTCTCTTTTACTTCCAATTTTTCTTTGTTTTTCTTTCATTTTCTTTTCATTTCTTAAGAGAGCCACCACTTCTGCACATATTTCAAACACATGCCCAGCCCAACTTTTAAGCACTACCTCCAATACTCACAGCAAATTTAACAGAAACAGCAGAGAATATGTAAAAACCACTCTGTGGAACCTTCTAAAAGATGCAAAGGGTGATTTTTTTTCATTTCAGACCAAAAGAAAGGATAACACATGGCTCAAAAGGGCTTACTAGGGGATATGACACATCAGGATAGTCAACTTTGGTCGTGGGCTAATCCTATGCCCCCATCATCTTAGCTAGTGACAACGTGAATGCTACACATCATGGAAGAGGGATCTATCGCACAAGAAAGAAACGAGCAGGCTCAAATCTCACATGGCTACCTATATGCTCTATCTCACATTCTGATACCCTGAACTAGATGCATACGAGACTGTCAAGAACAAGTAATCAATCCAAGTCACAGTTGGTAAGCAAACAGTTGAAAAACTGAAACCCTACACAACTCTACTGCACGTCTTAGTCCTCATCATAGGTTGTCCTAGTCACAATCAAGCTGTCATGCATCAATCCGAAAACCATTCAATTCATCAATCATGATCAAACAGCAGTACTTGGAGCCCTCAAATCTCGAGATTTGGACAGTGGACTAGGCTCCAAGCACACATATATACATTCCAACCGATACAAAGCACCCCCCCCCCACACTTAGCACGACATTGCCCTCAATGGAGCAGAGGGATAGAGAAGGGGAACGATGTTACCTGATGGAAACTGCTGGGGGACTGGAAGTGGACCAGTCAGCGAGCAACAAACGGGAAGATGGACAGTTCTGCACGAATCGAACACCAAGAACACACTAGCACACGTTGTGTTAGGGATAAGTGGTAGCCCAGACGGCTACAGCAAAAACAATCCACAAAAGAAAAAAAACAAAAACAAAAACAAACGACACTAAGTTCAAGCTCCTCACACATGGAGCAAACACACACAAGTCTAAAACGAAAAACAAAACACACTGAGATGAGCAACGAGTACAGCCTACTCGTCGCCGAGGTTATCCAGGTCGATGTCAGTCATGAATGCATCGTCGAATTTATAGGCCGAGTCTCGGCCACACGGCCTGGTTCACATGGTCGTGTCAAGAGCACTGTTGCCCGTGTCGGCCGACACGGGCTGGCCGAGGGACTTCACTCGGCCGTGCCGAGTGCACATTTGCCCGTGCCAAATTATGCGAGAGCAAACACGGCCAGGGCAAATTTCCACACGGCCGTGCCAACATCTCATCTGGCCGTGTGGAATTCTGCGAGAGCTCACACGGCCAAAATTATTTTCCACACGGCCGTGTGACATTCAGGGCTGGCCGTGTGAGCTGCCAGAACTCTGAAAATGACCTGTTTTCACTCCAGAACGACATACAACTCGTGAACAACCCCTCAAGACTCAAAAAACACAAAAAATCATAAAGAAAAAGGTAAGAAAATGCAAACCTAGGTGGGGTTGCCTCCCCACAAGCGCTTCTTTATCGTCTTTTAGCTGGACGCCAGTCGGTGGATGCTCAGTGAGGTGAAGGAGCAGGTGCCTTCAAGAGCGGATCCACCTCGCTCTTGAGGTACAGCTTCAAATGGTGGCCATGCACACGCTGAATGTGGCCACCAGCATTTGCCAACTCAACTTGGCCATCCGGCAGGATGCAAGCGAGTGAATACTCGGATGGCCAAGGTGGGGGCGGGACCAGCTCATAGTGGTCTCCGGCCTTCTTTCGAGCAGGTTTAGCTGCCTGTTGTTTCGGCCGCCACTCCTCCCTGATTTGTTCCTTCGATGACGGAGTGGACGGGAGTGGCGACGAAGGTATGGGAGGCGGATCCTGCAAAATAGGCAACACAGAAGGATACACGACAGACTCGTGCTCCTGGTGAGATACAGCATGTAGAGGTGACGAAGCAGGACGAGTATTAGAAATTGAAAACGCTATGCGCTCCTCACCATCCCTCAAAACTAAGGTCCCATCATGCACATCTATGAGGGCCTTGGCGGTGGCCAGGAAAGGCCTTCCCAGTATCAATGGCACATCCACATCCTCATTTATGTCCAAAATCACAAAATCAACAGGATAATTGAATTTGCCAACCTTAACCAGAAGGTCTTCCAATATGCCCCTAGGATGCACTACAGATCGGTCAGCTAATTGAAGGCTCATCCTAGTAGCACGGGGTTCACCTAGGCCTAGTTTCTTAAATAGTTTATATGGCATAACATTGATACTAGCACCTAAATCCGCCAAGGACCTCTCTACATGCAAAGTTTCTATAGAGCACGGGATAGTAAAACTACCTGGGTCCTTCTGTTTCTGCGAAAGCTTGTTCTGCAGAATGGCCGAGCACTCCTCGCTGAGCTCCACAGTGGCCAGCTCGCTCAGCTTCTGCTTCTTTGAGAGAAGATCCTTCAGGAACTTTGCATACTTAGGCATTTGAGATAGTGCCTCCAGGAAAGGTACTTGGACATTCAGCTTCCTAAGCATGGCCATGAAGCTCTCGAACTCTGCCTCCAGCCTGTCTTTGTGCAACCGAGTAGGGAAGGGGAGTTTAGGGATATACTCCTTCACTACTGGTTGCGGTGTAGGTACAGGTACCTCAACCTCCTTCTCTGCTTCTTCTTCAGCTGCTGGAGATGCCGAGGCAGGGGCCTCTCTCTCTTGTTCCCGAGCAGGTGGATCAACAGTCATCTTGCCACTCCTGGTCATGATGGCATTGCAGTGCTCATTCGGGTTCTGAGGGTGAGGAATGGTCTGACCGGGAAAGGTACCAGGAGCCCTTTGTGCCACTGCTTGAGCCACACTCCCCAGCTGGGTTTGGATATCCTGCAAGACAGCCTGTGTGTTCCTCTGGCCAGCTTCAAGAGCCAGGAATTTACCCGATGCCTTTTCCATGAACTGCTCGATGGTGTTACATTTCTGAGCACTAGAACTGGTGAGAGAACCCACCAATTCCCGCAGTTCAGCCATCTGATCATTCTGCACTGGGGCGGCAGGGGCTGCACCTGGCTGCTGGAAAGGTCGCGGCTGGGATGGAGCAGCATGCCCCTGCATGGGCTGGTAGAGAGACTGCTGCTGCTGCTGGAATTGCCCCTGTCTGGGCTGATATGGTGGCCTCTGGAAGCCTGGTGGTCCCTAGGGGACTGGTGGTCTGGAATTTGCCCCACCCCAAGAGAAGTTGGGATGCTGGCGCCACCCTTCATTGTAGGTGTTACTGTAGGGGTCATTGCGCCTGACATTGTTGATGAAGTTCACCTGCTCCTGGGGCGTGGTCGATTCCTTCATCGCCTGGCAGTCTTCCACTGTATGATGGGTGCTCTCGCACCACTGGCAGAGCATAGCCTGCTGCTGTCCGGTACCTGCAATCAAACCAAAACGATCGATAGCTGAAACCAACTTCGATACCACCTGCACCAAATCAGATGACTGGGTGCCCACAGCATGCACACCCCGGCCTGGTGCTCGTCTCGATCTCCTGGCAGTGCCCCAATCGTACCCGTTCTCCGCCATCTCCTCAAAGAGTTGATTCAGCTGTGGCGGTGTTTTGGTCAGCATGTTCCCGCCACAGACCGAATCAATCAGCTGCTTGTCCTCCGGGAAGAGGGCATGATAGAAGGTTCCCACCTTGAAAGCATCGTTGAAACCGTGATTGGGACACCTCGGGAAGAGACTGTTGTATCTCTCCCAAGCATCCCGGATGGTCTCATCTTCATCTTGGGTGAAGTGGGTGATCTGCTTCTGCAAGTCCGCCGTCTTCGACGGAGGATGGTAGCGGGTGAGGAACTTGTCCGCCAGGTTGGCGAACGTGGTGATGGAGCCCGGAGGTCAAGTGTCTAGCCACTCCTTGGCTTGCCCCTCCAGAGTAAATGGGAATTACCTCAGCTGGATGGCATCTTTTGGTACCCCATTGATCTTGATTCCATCAATGAGCTCGCGGAATCGCCTGAGATGTGATCGGGGGCACTCCCCCTCTTTGCCACGGAACACCACTGAACCGCACAGCATGGTGATTACTGAGGTGCTCACCTCAAAATTGTTGGCTGGGACATGAGGATGTTGAATGGGTGACCTCATGTCCGCAGCTCTAGCGGTCCAGTAGGATCCCATGGTCTGCTCCTCAGGGATCACATCATGGTTCTCTGGATCAGCCATCTCTACTTCCTCTTCTTCTAACTGCAGCTGTGATAGCGCCTCCTCCGCAGCCAGTCGCGCCTTTAGAGCCCGCTTGAAGTTTCTGCAGGTTCGTTCAAGTTCCTGGTCTAGTTGTAGTAGATCTCCCGACTGGCTACGGGTCATGCACTACCTGCACACAATCAGCAGAAGCAACCCGTGAAGGCACACAGGTGGAAGAGATAAAATGCAGTAAATAAAAGGCTAGAGTAACAAATTCTCACGTTTCCCCAATAACCTAGAGGATCCCCGGCAACGACGCCAAAATCTTGACACGCCAAAACACAACACCAATCTGCGACCAAGTGTAATCGCAGACCGGGAATGCAGTAACATGCAAGTTATATTATCAACCCGGGGTCTAGATCTACTGCTTACTCAGTGATTATCTATTATCTAGCCAACTAAAGTAAGTGATTGTTGTTTAAAAGCAAAAGCAGAAAGAAAGCAGGAATTGATACGGTTTTCTCAAGCAGGTAAGAGTCACTCGGGAATGAGTCCCCCTAGCTCCTTAGTTAAGTTTCAATTGTATTTCCCTGGGTTGATTTACTGTTGATTAGACTGCGGAAGATCCGACAGTAGCTTGGAATCTCTTAAGCTGACCAAGCCCTCTTAGTCTAACTACCCGGCAAACGACTAGTCTTCACCGGGATAGAAAGCTGAAGCAGTAAGAACAGAACTTCACTACTGGAATTGGATTCCAGTACAAAGCAGTAAACTGACTAACTCTCATATAGCCAATCTCCTACTACCGAATGATGAGACTCTAGCAACCTAATCAGATTCTATCTATCTCAGATTGCAGCAGGAATCAGGAAAAGTTGATCAGACTTCAATTGACTCAATAAACATGCATCATTCGATTAAAATCATACAGTAATATCATCCCAAGTCATTACAATCAATCCCTAACACATAGAACTAGGGTTCTTCATCCCCAAGTGAGAGAGGGGTTCTACTCCATAGAGAGAGAGAGAGGGAAACAAGATACAAAGTAGTCATACTCATAAAGATGAGGAAGATCTGCTCTGGGATGATGATTTCCACTCCTATGACGATCTCCAAGCTTGATTTGATGAAACCCATATCCAAGATGGCTTCTAGGATGTGTTCTTCGTCCTTTCTCTCTCTAGGGCTCTGTTTTTGCTCAAAAAGTCCGATTATCTCTCTTGCAGCCCGAAATTGGGTTAAAACCAGGAATTCCCGACTCACACGGGCAGAGCCACACGGCCGTGTGGCATACCCAGTTGCCCGTGTGAGTCAAAATGCTGCGTTCCAATTAGTTCGATCTTCAGGCTTCCCACGCGGCCAGGGTCGCACGGCCGTGTGAGATTTCCATCTGCCCGTGTTTGCTCTCGCATAAATCCACACGGCCAAACCGCTCCGTCACACGGCCGTGTGGATATCAGGGCAAGCCGTGTTTGCTCTCGCACAATCTCACACGGCCACAAATATGAGTTGCACGGCCGTGTGAGTTGTGGGTGTGCCCGTGTGGCCTCCTTTGTGACTTGCCTCGCGCCCGATCTTCGTCCAATCGACCCCAAACTCGCTCCCAAGCCTCCATTCACGTACTAGGACCTGAAATATCACAAACAAGCACAACCTAGCGTGAAATCGGCCTAAAACACGAGAAATCACATCTCAAACGGTGTAAGAACAGGGGTAAAAACATGTGTAATTAACGGTCTATCAAGGAGATGGCAGAGAAAGGGTATGATTGGGGCACTGCTAGGAGGTCGAGGCGAGCACCAAGCCGAGGTGTACATGTTGTGGGCACCCACTCTTCTGATTTGGTGCAGGTTGTATCTAAACTGGTCTCGGCCATCGATCGGAATGGGATGGTTACGGGGATAGGGCAGCAGCCGGCAATGCGTTGCCAGTGGTGCGAGAGCGCCCATCATACTGTAGAGGACTGCCAGGCCATGCGTGAGTCCAGTACACCCCAGCAGTAGGTGAACTTCATCAACAATGTCCGGTGCAACGACCCATACAGTAACACCTACAATGAGGGATGGCGCCAGCATCCAAATTTCTCATGGAGTGGCAACAGCAATCCGAAGCCACCTGGCTTCCAAGCTCCTGCAGCTAGTTTTCCAAACCAGAGGCAGTCATACCAGCCTCGCGCAGGCCAGATGCAGCAATCACTTTATCCGCCCAGACAGGGGCAGGCTTTTCAACAGCCCCCACAGCAGCAGTACCAGCAGCCTGGTGCATCTCCATCAGTCCCAGCACGGGGCGATCCCGTGTCAGAACTGAGGGATCTAGTGACTACCTTGGCCAGCACTAGCACCCAAAAGTTCAAAACTTTTAAAATTGACTTAAAAACGAATGTGATGCCATATGGTATGAAGGTGGTAGAGAGTGATATGAGTAGTATGAATATTTTTTCTCGAAATATATACAAAATTGATATCATTTTGTAGATCACAACGAACTCGCAATATTTATGCAAAAAAAAAAATTGAAATCCAAGTTAAACGAAAAAGATAAGAGGCAAATAATACAAATAGTGAAAATAAAAAGCCTTTATTCACAACCTTAGATTTGGACTCTTGTCCAAATTTAATCCTACCACTAATATAAAGAGGTTTTGAGAAAATGCTTAGCCTTCTAGGAAGGATTTTTTTTTTTATTTACCCTGGAACCCCAACCCCATTAGCAACATTTTCAAGGCCTAGCACCCGATACTGGGGGAGACAAAGTCTCCAACCTCCGGGAACACCAAGTGGTGTAGCGGGGTTCGAACTTGAGACCTCACACATCTCAGGCCCGAAAAACCACACTCCCGACCAAAGCGGTTGTGTTACCTTCGGCGAAAGGATATTTATTAATCAAAACTTAATTATAATGGAAAAAGGTTTGGTTGGAAACTCTTTTAAAACCAATTATTATATTAATAACTAATTCTTTTGTTATAAGGTTGTGTGTGTCTATATGTGGTTTATTTTTTATTTAATTTTCTTTTATTATAAGATTAAGTGTTTGAGACAAATTCTTTAGAGATGACATTAGGGACGGGTACCTATTTCCCGATCCCCGCACATCAAGGCTGACGGATTTCCCCGTCCCTGCAAGTTAAATGGAGGGGTTATGTTTGTCGTCCTCGTCAGTAATTGGATCCGGGTAACCCACGGATCATGAACCAAGGATTGGAGATGCGGACGCGATTTTGGGAAAGAAGAGGAAGAAAGAAGAGAGGGGGAGTGACTGGAGCGGGTGCGATTGGAGATGCGAGCGCGATTTTGGGGTTGCAGGATGTTGGGGATGCGGGTAGGAATGGCAATGTGTAGGGTCGGGTGCGGGTTTACCCTATACCAACTCCTAACCCGCCGGGTAGAGCCTTCTAAAATACCCGACCAAATAACTACCGGTATGAAAATTATATAACCATACCCTACCCACCGGGTAACACGGGTAACACGGGTATTCGGGTAACCACGGGTACAAATCCTAAACTATGAACTTATACACATATATGCATATACATACTGTTGTCCATTAAAAATTCTCAATACTTGTAACTGTTCTAGCTTCAACAATCCACACAAATAAAAACAGCAAACACATAATAATTGTTCTTGCTTCTACAATCCACACAAACATAATAATCGTCTACATCTTCATCATCAATAATGGTAGCTAAACTCAATTTCTCAAGCTAAACTAAAATTCTCAAGGAAAATTGACCCTTTGGTTAGCGGGGCGTGTATTATCGATTACCATACCCGTACCCTACCCTTTATTTTGAAACCGGGTATTACCCGTACCCGCCCCTTAACCCGTCAAAGCGGGTAATTACCCTCGTTGACCGGTTACGGTCGAGTAGGGTACCCATGGTTACGGGTTGGATTGACATCCCGAGATGCGGGCGTGATTTTGGGATTGCAAGAAAAGAGGGGAGGAGTGTATGGAGAATGGCGATCAAAAGGAGGAGGGGAGGAAGAGTGGAGAGGGAAGGGGAGTAATCGGCCGCCACAAGAGGATATGAGGAATTGAGGATTATGGTTTTTTAAACTCTCAGTTTATATATTGAGCGTCCAAACGACGGGTGGGTCAAAGTTGACATCCCTAAAATTTTTATATGTATGACTTTACTAATTAACCAATCCTTCATTACTTAATTAGACAAGTCAAATACTTTCAATTATAACATTAGATTTGAGGTTTTCCATAAAAAAAATATACAACATTAAAATTAAAAATTCAACATGTTATTGAGAATTGATAATGCTACAGAAGTTTATGAATGTAATTATTAAAGAGTTTCTATTTAATTATTAGTTTATTCTTCAATTTTTTTTTAGGTGTCGGTTGAAATGTATATCACAATCTTCATCTAGACTCTAGAGTAAAACTTCAAAATTTAAAACCGGTAGAGACTAGAAGTTCATAGTTTAAATTTTAAAACCGATAGCTAGATAATTTATTGCTTAGATTCTTTTCCCATAACAAGTTAAGAGTTGCCTGATGACTACAGCACAAGAGAATAAAAGCCAATAAGAACACTTTTCATATTTGGATTATCACTTTTTCCATAGTCATCTTACATTTACCAGAATATAACTCAAAAATAGGGGGAGGCTCAAAAATCCCCAGAAAATTAGAGAAACCCCAAAAAAGGAGCGCCAAATACAAAGCTAATTTAAAGACAAATAAGAAACACACAAAAGGGGAAGTAATAAATCAAGTCCGACCGTCCGGTTCGAAAGCTTTCTCGTTGTCATCAGCAGCAGCAATTAAGGTCCCCAGCAATCCAGTTTGCGATGCGACCTCCTGCTTCTGTCATGTTGAACTCAAATGGGTCAAAGCCTGTAATTAGACTCAAGCTCACCACTTCTTCCCAGAACCTCTCCACCCACCGCCGGAACCACCCCTACCACCACCTCCTCTGCCGCCACCTCTGCCACCAAATCTGAAACCACCACCACTTTGACCACCATACCCACGGCCACCGCCGCCGCCACCAAATCTTGCCCTAGACTGCTCTCTTTCTTGTAGGGGAGGCAATGCCTTCACCACCTCCAAGCTCACGTTAGCTGCCTTTTCCGCCCCAGCCAGGAAAGTGTCGACATCCTCTGCTGCCACATCAAAGACAGCACCTTTCCCATCCAGTGTGAGTGAAAAGCCCTTGACCGACTCGACTTTATCTTCTGGCAAGAATCTCCTCAGCATACCATAAGCATACCTGACAGCCCAATTCAAAAACCAGACGCACAAGTCAGGCAATCAAACAAAAATAGACAACCAGAATCATTTATCACTCAAGACTTGCATAGAAAGAAAATGAGACTTAAAGAAGTAGTGCTCACGATTGAGAATAGAATGGTTTTCCAGCGTCGAGAAGAAGCGTAACATGGTTCTCCATGGAACTCAGAAGTGATCTAGTCTTAATCTCAGTATAACCCTGCATGATGGCAATTCACATCACAGCATGTCAGCAGAAATGGAATGAGGAATCCAAGATGATATTACTCAAAATGAGAAGCATCCAGAACCTAAGTAAACACTTACAGAAGCCTTTGCTAGTGCTTTAGCAAGGAGATCCACAGCTGACATACCAGAAGAATTCAATAGTTCCTCAGCTGCAGCCTTAAAAGCAGGGATCACACTGCAAAACAGCTAACTAACTTCAGCAAAAAAATAATAATAATAATAAACCCTAAGAACTCACAAAGAAAAGAGGAACGAGAATCATACCTGTCGGAAACCTTGGTTATCGTTTGAGCTGCTTGTAGACCAACAGATTGGGCGATATCAGCAGCTTGAGGTGCAGCTACATGTTCAAATTTTATACCAGCTTCCCTCTGTATCTTGGAAATGTTAGCCCTTCTTGGATCAAAGAGCATCACAGCGACCCCAGTATTGCCTTCGGAGAGATGAGATTTTTGTCAGTATCATGCATATACAGACTTGCAGACAGTTGCAAAGATTATTAATACACACCTGCTCTTCCTGTACGTCCAGATCGATGAATATAAGCTTCAACATCACGCGGAGGTTCACACTAGAATGATAGATAATGTAATTAGGTTGGCTGCCATGAAAGCTAATATGAAGCTTTACAATATTTACACATAAACTTCCATGAAAACATGGCATACCTGGATAATCAACTGCACATCATTGATATCCAATCCCCTTGCAGCCACATTTGTGGCAACCAGTGTCAAGAACTTGCCGGACTTGAACCCAGAAAGAGTTACCTACAGGAATCAAGCAAGGAAATTAGCAAAGATAAGGAGGTTACCATTTGTCTCAAGATTGGTACGTGAGATGATAAGTATTTCATCAAGGTTCATCAAATAAACTATCTTTCATAATGCGTGCATGGCATGGAAAAATTGTAAGACATACCATCTCCATTCTCCAGAATATGTAAAGGAACACAATTTACCTCTCTTTGAGATTGTTGTATGTCACCATGCAAAGGACGAGCCCCAGGTAATAACCCCGCTAGTTGATTAGCAGTATCCTTCTTCTCAGTGAAAATAATGGTACGACCACCACTGAAAACAACAAACATTCACTGTCAGTAACAATCGAAGTAGAATGAAGTAAGAAAAAAATGAAAACACTAATGGAGATAACCAACCTGCTGTAGCAGCGAATGACATCAGGGATCAGTTGAGGTATAGCCGATGCAGAACAAGGAAGGACGATGTGTCTTACATTGGTACTAGCCTTCATTTTCTCATTACCAACAAGATCTATGGTTTTCTTGGACGGTTTAAGGAACTTTGAAGCAATCTACAGGAGCACAGCAACAATTCAAGTCAAACCATGGAGAAGAATCATGAGTCAAATTACTGGCAGCTACTAAAATTATCAATCTGCAGAGGATTAGAATTAACTAACATGTTTCACCCATTCAGGCAGGGTAGCACTGAACAGAAGTGTCTGGACTTTAGTAACATCCTCCACTTTTCCTGTAAGTAATATTCATACAGTTAATACCCATTTCCCATCAGAACAAACATTAAAACCCTAGGTGCTGCTGAAGTTCAATTCCAGCCTATACAATTCTGCTAACTAGTACTAAGAACATCTACAAACAATAGTACCTAGGATAAGCTCCACATCCTCTACAAAACCCATTCTGAGCATTTCATCGGCTTCATCAAGGACACGGAATACCAAGGAGCTAAAATTGATATTGCCCCGCTCAATGTGATCCTGTGGAATATTTGCATTCAATTGATTTTTAGTAAGAAAATCCAAAAAAAATCGTAACTTTTTCCAAGACTGCAGTAGCTTGGCTATACCTTAATGCGCCCTGGTGTTCCAACAACGATATCGACCCCTCTTTTAAGACTGGATTCTTGGGGGTTGTAAGGAGCACCGCCATATAAACAACAAGATGTCAAGCCCAATGACTCTCCATAAACCTTGAAATCCTCAAACACCTGGGAGAAAACGGAAGCAGAGGAATCAGCAAAGCACACCATTCCAAGAGGCAAGATCACTGCCAGCAAGTGCCATTTAATTTTACCTGAACTGCCAACTCCCTCGTCGGTAGAAGAACAAGAACACTCGGTGGCCGGCCGTATCCCATCTTTCTGGCAGCTTTCGCACGTCCATTAGTTAGAGACTCCAATAGGGGCAATACAAATGCAAGCGTCTTTCCCTGCAGTAATGCACCATTCCAATTAATCAGTACAGAAATTAACCTCACAAGCAAGCTTAGAAAAGCCATGTTCGGCAATCGGCAGTCCTAGCAATTTGAATGATGAAAAAGGTCGAAATTTTCACCTGACCGGTGCGAGCCCTGCCGACCAAATCACAACCGTCGAGGACATCATCGAACGTTCTCGCCTGAATAGGGAACAACGCCTCAATCCCCCTGGACTTGAGCTTCATCCTCAGCGGCTCCGATATCCGGAAATTGGTCACGGCGTTGGGATCCTCCGGCTTCATCTCCTCGACCTCACCGTCCTCATCTTCCCCCTCCTCTTCTTCTTCCCCGCCACTGGAAACCTTCGCCTTCGTACCCTTCTTGCTCTTCTTCTCCGCCTTCAAATTCACCGGCTCACCCAGCTCCGAGCTCGTCTCACTCCTCTCCTCATCCTCGCTCCCCATCTCCGCAGCTTTCCTCTTCTTCTTCTCCTTCTTTTTTTTCTCCTTCTTCTCCGAATACCCGTCCTCTTCCTGATCAGAGACCTTCGAGCTCTTCTTCTTACTCTTCACCGACTCGGACTCGATGCCGTCGAGAGCGATTTTCTTCATTTTCTTCACCTTCTTTTCTGCGGACTCCGGTGACTGGTTCACCATGGCAATCGAAGGCATGACAGAGCGGAAGGAAGGAAGGAATGAACTATATAGTCGGCGAGAGGTGAACGAATTAAAAGTGGAGGCGGGCTGATGGGGGCGCGCCTCTAGCGTTTTCTGCTGCTGCCAACGAGAGGGTTTCGTGGCAGAAAATTGCTGGAGCAGGAGAGAATCGCAAAAGGAGGAAGAAGGGGTTAGGGGTTTTGATTTTATGCTTTTGCGGTGGGAGGGTTTGGGCCGTCGGATGGTCAAACCCTAGAAGTTCGCGTTAGTTGCCGTTAGATCTATTGGGCTTTTTTTTTTCCAGAACACGTTCCGTTTGGGGCAATGAGATATAAAGGCTTAATTGCAAGTTTGGTCACTCGAATTGCTATAAAATTTCACGTTTGTCACTCAAATTAATTTATTCCATTTGTAGTCACTCTAATTAGTTGAACAGTTCAAGTTCGGTCACTCTCCGTTAACCTCCATTAACTTTGACTGACGTGGCGGTCAACTCTAACTGTTGACCGTTAAATGTATGACGTGGCAAATAAAAAATGATTAAAAAATAAAAATTAAATTTTTAGAAATTACACATCATTAAAAAAAATTATAATTATAAAAATTAAATTTTTAGAAATTGACACACAAAAACTTAACCTTGCTGGAGAGTCTTGGCCACATCGATCACAAATCGGTACTTAACATCACCCTTCTCAAGGCGCTGCATCGCCGTGTTCACATAATCGGCCGATATAACCTCGATATCCGCCGTGATGTTGTGCTTCGCCGCGAAATCGAGCATCTCTTGCGTCTCCTTCATTTCCCCAATGCAGCTCCCCCCTACAATCTTCCTTCCTGCAGTTCACACATGCCAAACAGTTACCTAAAACGCCAAAAAAAAAAACCTTCACAAGAAGAAGAAGTTGAAAGCATCTCTCCATCATTATTCATTACCCATCAGCAGAGGGAAAACCTGCAACTCAAGCGGCTTCTCCGGCGCACCGACCAGCACCAACTTCCCGTGCGTCTTCAACAGCTCAATCAATGGCATTATTGGGTGTACCGCTGAAACCTCTGTGTTCCCCTTACTCCAACCCATCCCCTCTCCCCCGCACCACCTCCGACCACCGCCATGTCGCCGGCAATTCCAAACTCCCACCCCCAAACCCCTTCTTCTGCTCTAAACCCCAACGCACCGCCTTTTAACAACCCACCGGCGCCTCGCCGCTCAACGGCGCTCGCTCTTCTTCCCTCTCCTCCGACCAAGACCCAAACCCCCACCGACGCCAAAATTTCGCCTCTCCCTCTCAAACCCACCGCCGCCGGCGATCATTCCCAGGCCTTCTCTATCACCCGGCTGTAATCCCCAACCCTAATCGACTCTTCTTCTACTACTACTGCTACCCTCTTCCTCATACACAGCCTAATGTGCTCCATCCTTCCCCGGTCTACATGAACAACAACAACTATTACCACTCTGGAGGCTTCAGGCCGATTGCCATTTGCCCACAGCCATGCCCACCGCCGCTCATTCTGAATCACAGTACGGAGACCGTTCCCGTTCCCGTCCCCGAACCCAAGCCGTTGCCCACTACTGTTGTGCCTAATAATGGTGGGGATAGGGCTCTGATAATTTTTAGAAATTTTTTTTAATTATAATTTTTTTTAATAATGATGTGTAATTTCTAAAAATTTAATTTTTATTTTTTAATTATTTTTTATTTGCCACGTCACACATTTAACGGTCAACTGTCAGAGTTGACCGCCACGTCAGTCAAAGTTAACGGAGGTTAACGGAGAGTGACCAAACTTGAACTGTTCAACTAATTAGAGTGACTACAAATGGAATAAATTAATTTGAGTGGCAAGCGTGAAATTTTATAGCAATTTGAGTGACCAAACTTGCAATTAAGCCGAGATATAAATATCTGACTTTAGCGCCTCCACGTCAAGAGATCGGGGCCCCACCGACCGAGACCAGCAGGCATAAAGGAAACAGCCAAATCCAATGTTGTCAACCCGCGCGTTGACACGGACCCGGTCGAGCTAGTGGGTCAAGGGTTAATGGGTCACCAGTTTTAACTCGGTTTAGCCTAGAAATATGAAAAGAGTAATTATATTGTACTTATCCTGATAACTTATATCAAATCTCATATAAAATATCTACAAGATATATAAAGGCAAAACATGGGTTGGAATTACCTCATTTCAAATTTCGTGGCCTGAAAGTGATTCTAGAAATGTCATTTTTGTCATTGCACCCACTTTATCTTTATATATTAAAAATATTATTATTGGAGCTCGGACCTGGGTCAATTAAATGAAGAAAGAGCATTATAACCAACTAGACTACATTTTATTTATTGTTATTTCTTTTATTAAACTCTAGGAATATGTTTGGTGATGATGCTTCTGTATTTATATTTTATCTTTAAGTTATTTCTATTTTATAGAATGAGATTAGTTCTGAAATCGAAACTCAAGTAGTATTGATTCAAATATTAATATTAAATTGTATGTGTAGTTTAGTTTAGTTTAGGCAAAATACAGAAGTGTAACCAAAACATGGACCTTTGTAACGAGTATAGCCATTTTTGTGAAAAATCTATACATAATATAATGATAAAATTAGAAAATGAGAGTCTTCTTTTAAATTTCGTGGCCTGAGAGTGATTCTACGAACCTCTTTTTTCGTCATAGTGGCAAATTTATCTTTATATTATGTGTATATTTGTCACAAAAACTTACTATATATGTCACGAAGACTCATGTTTTGGCTACACACATGTATTTTATCTAAACTGTACCACACATGTTGTTTGTGCCTAGAATGTACTAGGCGGTTATGGGGCTCCGATCTGGACTCCCTCGTCTGATCTCCTCGGAAGTGGAAGAACCTGTGAGGCGGGGGCGGCCCCCGGGACACGCTCCGACGCCCAAGTTAGTACGATATAGGAGAGTGTATGGTATGTAGAGAGATAAAGTAGAGAGAGAGACCTTAGGGGAAAGTGAGGAAGGGAGAAGAGAAGATCCCCTAGCTTGGAGGGTTAGGCCTCCTTATATAGGGTGTGGGCTTCCTTGAGTGGGCTTGGGCCCAGGACGCCTTGCGGTGGGCTTGGGCCCGTTTATAGTCGTGTAGGCATATTAATCCATATCCCAACACATGTAATTTAATATTTAATGTTTGAATCAATGTTACTTGAGTTCCAATTTCACAATTAATCACTTCTATAAGATATAATAATTTCAGGTAAAATGCACTTCTTACCTGGTCGAAGAAGCTCTTTCTATAAGATATATTCAATGTTTTAAGATTTTTCATTTCCAATTTCTTGACATGAGAGTGAAAGTAGGAAGAGTATTTTTTTTCATCGCAATTATTTATCTACTTTCTATAAAAAAAAGTATCAACATCTAGATTTGAGCCATGGTCTCTTAAAAAAACAACAATCACAACCAATTACACTAAACAAATTTGTTTTATCTTCTTGAATTGTAAGCATACACTTAGCGAAGATTTGAAAAGCATAGGAACTTTCCATAACGGTTAGCTAGCTTATTAAATATTCTAAAAAGAAAGTTTAATACGTGATTTATAATTTTTTATAACCTATAAAATGACGGGTAATCTTAAAATTGCAACACAAATTTCAATGCTTGAAATATTGCATATCGAATTACAGTATTGAATATGCAACAGAGATGTAGAATTCTTTAATTAATATAAATTTTCAGAACTACTATGAAGCAATAATATTTTGTACAAAATATAGGTAACTGATTCTCTAAAATTTTAGCCTGGTTAATTGCTAAACATTAAACCTCTTGCTAATCTGGCATGAATGGATCCGACAATAATAAGACGATGTTAGGTTTAATGTGATATTCATTTTGCCATTTTTGGGTGTGTTGACAATTTAAGTGCATTAACATATAAATGAGTTATAACTAACCCCATTATACAATTTTTACTCTTTATAATAATTAATTTAATCTTAATATTTGTGATATTTGAAATACTTTATGTACGATTTAGAGATATACTTATTATTTGTGGCATCATTGGTAGTTGGTTCAAATGTAGTATTTTATCATGTAGTCTATATTGGTGCACTCATGTTTTATGGAGAAATGCGCCATTTGAGAGGAATAAGCGGTCATTTGTTTGCCAGGTTTCAGGTCCTGTGATTCACAGTATCGATTGTGAATAGAGAAGAAGCATTTCAAACGCAAAATTGGATAAGTAATTGGGATGTTTCTAGGTTTCTCTCAATTCCAGGCGGTGGAAAGAAAGAGGAAGGAAAAGGGGAGAGTGGTGAGATACAAAGCTCAGAGAGAGAGAGATGGAAGAACAAATGGAAAAAACAAAGAGGATTATCGAGGACCCGCTGGGCAAGTGTAGCCAGTACTGTCTCATCCAGCCTAATCCACATCTCTGTTGATATGACCTCGAGGATCTAAGACCTTGAGAATGATTAACATAGCGGTGGAAGGGTAATACCTGCTGACATCTCAAAGCAAACTTGTCCTTCGCCGCCGGAACTTCGCCGACTAGAGAAGGAGTTCGTCGGATCGATCTTCTCTCCCTCTGCTAGAGGAAGAAGAGGTGGACTGTAGCAGCTTCGTTCGATGGGGAGGTCGAGTTTGGGGGAGGCTGGGAGAAGAACAATGGGAGTCGGGGGTTAGCAAAACGGCATCATTGGTCTAAGTTAACAAAAGGAGAAAAAAATGTGGCCGAGGGATTCGAACGCTGGGCTCATTTAAAGAAATGAGGGCATTACCCAATGGGCAAGGGGGGGGGGGGGGGAATCCGTCTCTCATTTTCCAATCAAAGGATGTTCTATTGTTTCCGCCCAACTGCCTCTTTTATTCCCAATGGGTTTTTCCAACGATAATGAAATTGCAAGTGAACACATTTCTTACAAATTTTTTATTTATTTTTGTTGTCACACTAGAAAATAGAAAACAAAATGGCAAGTGAACGAGGCATAAGAGAGAGTGAGAGGACATATTTAAACGAGGGGGAAAATGAG